CATTGTTCCTCAGTGTTGTGCGGTCATTCTTTCTTCGTTCCAATTTAGTGCCATTTTTCCCTCAGTACTAGTAAAGCCAATTTTCCCAAGGTTCACCTCGCGACATCGACACTAGCTTGACGTCAGGCTACAGTACTAATTCTGGCGACATCATACAGGATACTCGCCTGGCCATGGGAACATCACAATTTCTTGCTCCAGCATGTGAAGAGCTCATACCGCGACTTGAGAGTACAGTAGAAACCAAGACTAGTTTTTAATAACATGTTGTAATTACTTTTTCAGGGAGCACTTACACTTATTTTCTAGGATCAGCAGGGCTTGGCTTAAAATTTAACGCAACGGTGGTATAGTGTCTAAAGTACTCAGCTGCTGACCCGCAGGTCGCGGGATCAAATCCCGGCTGTGGCTGCTGCATTTCCGATGGAAGCGGAAATGTACGCCCGTGTGCTCAGATTTGGGGGCACGTTAATGAATCCCAGGTGGTCGAAATTTCCGGAGCCCTCCACTACGGCGTCTCTCATAATCATATGGTGGTTTCGGGATGTTAAAGCCCACATATCATTTAACGCAAGAAAACAACAAATTAAAACTTTCATGTAACAACCACTTAAAGGGGAACTCCGGCGTTTTTTCAATATTAACTGATTTCAATAAAACTTTAAACATGTGTTTTCATTGGTACCGTGATAATATGTGCCAAATTATGCACCCTACGTCATTCAGTTTCTTGGAAAACAACTTTTAAAATTAGTAGCCGATTCTGCAATCACACTAGTAAACGCAGGCCACCCTGTGCATGTGACGTAAGGGCCTACTCTTTTTGGAAAACCCTGCATTCCCCGGCAGACAGATGCAACGTGCGCTTTCTTCTACGAGGTGACAACGCTAGCACAGTTCAGTTTTGTCAGCTGTATACAACGTGTTCGTCATCGTTGATGTCGGTCTTACAATATTGAGCAACAAGAAAATCGATTCGGGGCATGTCAGATGCTTCACGCGCCGGCGGGTCGAAATCAAAAAGCGATGCTTCTGCGCTGAGATAGTAGCTGCAATCATTGCTGAACTTGTCACTAGTAAGTTCAGACGCTCTGGCACAGCTTGCTTCTGCGTCGATATCGCCAACTTGCTTTTCGCGCATCAGAAGAGGAATGTGAGCTATGTGTGCACCCTAGCAAGCCGTGGCGGGGTGTAGCCGATCTCGTGACGTCATCAGCGACGAATTCTCGAGACGTCATCTGATACCCACCATGAATGACAGAGCAGCTTCCCATTTTGGTCTTTGTTTTGACTTGTCGCTTATTGCTTAATTAAAATTACTGACGAGTACCTGGGCAAAATTAACCACCTTAGCCTTTACAGGATTGTCAATACTATTTGAAAACAGCATTATCTCAGTATGGTCGAAAATGCACCGGAGTTCCCCTTTAAGAAAACAAAGCATCTCTTCATAGCAAAGCGGTGTGTCAAAAACTGTTGAAGGGTAATCTATCCTAAATGCAATCAATTCTTCTTTTAGTGCCCTCAAGACAGATGAAGCAGTGGAATAGTAACAAATTTTCCGTGCCAGGGTAACCTAGCAACCTTGCGTACATTTATTAATGGCCAACATTTAACACCAGAAAGCTGTGAAACCACAAAAACATCTATGGTGCCAGAAATAAATGGCTTCTCATACAAGTTTTCTTTTACTTTGAATTCACGGCCAATGATGCAGGGCACCTTTCGTTACATATGGTGCTAACAACACATTAAGGTGAGAGAATTGTCTGCGCTTTGCAGGCCCTAGGCGTTATGTCTAAAGGACTACTTAGCCAAGCATTATGCAGCTTTTTCGCAATCCCCAAACACAACAGGTGCATATAGTCCAGTGGTGCAGAGGTCACACAGTATATGGGCAGTGATGTTAATACTGATGCGCCCCGGTGATGGTCAGAGTCAATCTGACGCCTGAAAGAATCATTCGTACGCAAAGTGGATGACGTAGTAGGGAAGCTGAGTCGACTGTTTCTGTATGTACCCTCAGCTGTGCACTTAGGACACCCAGGATCGTGCTGGGGCATCCAAAACAAAACACTTCAAAGAAACATCAATTAGGTGCCCATGAAAAATCATTCCTTGGGAAAGAAGCTGTTGCAGGTCACTGACAAGTTTGTTGAGAAACTCGTAGGCTGAAGCAGGCTTTCCTGGGCCTGTGAAAATTCCAACTTCAAAGGGTGGTATTCTTCGATCTTCACGAATCATGCACTGTATGGGCCACAACTGCATGGTGGAGCGTTTGGAAATTGGCAGCCCGTCAATGTTAAAGGCAAGAGAAACATGACTGCCTTCATAACGTGCTTTTGACAAAGCATTCTCGAGGCTTTTCTGTAGCCCAAAGTGGCAGTAATGTCCCGGTACCATTGAACTGACAACAGGTGCACCCTGTGTATCTCTAGGCATGGCAAGAAGAGTATGAGCGTCGCTAGGCAGAGATAAAGAATCGAAAGTACTGACCTTGAGAATTTTTAGAAGAGCGGACAAAGCTGTATAAGTAACATTTTCTTTGATGACCCAACTGCGCAGTGACACAACAAAATCTTTGTGCTTTGACAATGCATCAGTGGAAGATGAACAAACAGGTACCTCCGGGACTCCGCTTACAGGAGAATGCACATCGCTGAGTTGCATTGGCGAGCCTTCGGGTTCAGTGTGCGATGCTCCGGTGGACGAACAGGGTGAACATTTTGTAGGCGATGTGTCCGTTGAGTCACTTTCGGTGACGCAAGGTGAACTGCCCTCAGGGGGCGCCGAGCTGCAGCAATCCGCCTGAGTAGCTGCTGATGTAGCCGCAGTGTTTTCGTCAGCCCCAGGCACGCAAATGCTCGCACACTCACTGGCACAGCATGTGTTACTGCATGCGCGTAGTGTATCACACGCACTACTGCATTGTTCGAAGTTCCCGATTCCTTCAGACGTTGACGGCTGGCTGCCGGCTTGAAATCCGAAATCCCGAAATATTGCCTTTGTTTGCAATGACGCTTTCTTGCGCGTGTAAGACTTTTCCTTCGCTTTAGGCATGCTGGCACCTGCGACGGAAACACATTGTAGTACTCATACGAAGTTCTGAAGTCTTTGACTGTAATCTTAATAAATAAATAAATGTAGCTGTCTTACCTCCGTAGCTGGGGAAGAAAATACAATCGTATCTGCACTGGCACTACAAGCACGCCGCCATTATCTACAGGACTAACAGAACCAATCCAGTGGCTTGGCTTGACTGGGCGATGGCTCGCCAAACGAAACTTTTTTTTTTTTCTCCGCTGTTTGGATAGATCACCGTCAATATAAACAACGTCGTTAAAGTAGCTTTATAATATTTAACAATTAGGCGGTGTATTATAACCGTTTTTGATCATAATTATTATCAAATAACCTAAATTGGAAACGCCATTTTTTGTGACATGTTTCAGTTTTTGAGAGAGACATTTGCGACGCAGCAGCAGTGTCATCGCTAGCACCGTGTGTATCACCTTCCTCCGTGGTGTACCGCATGTAACTATTACATTTGTCGGGTTGCGCTCGCTCCGTGGCATTTATTTACCTAAAGTATTCTTACACGTGATTTGTAATAAACGTTCAGCAGTGAAAAGTTAGTCTATTCAGTGATAGATTGAGTGTATGGTTTCATTTTATATCTTTTGCTATAGTGGTCAACGGGATAAAAAAATTTAATTGATTTCATGGGACAATTATTTTTAAAACTGTTGGTCACTTTCGACTGACAAAAACTAGTAAGATAAGTGCACGATATACTACAAGCAATGCACAGTATACAACATAAATTATACGAGCACATATATTTTTAACCCTGACAAAAAGTGCACATGCCTTAAAAAACCCTGAACTAGATGCTATATTTTTTTACGTTTCAAAATAGGATTGATATGTGAGGTTAACGTCCCAAAACCACCATATGATTATGAGAGACGCCTACGTAGTGGTGGGTTCCGGAAATTTCTACCACCTGGGGTTCTTTAACGTGACCCAAATCTGAGCACACGGGCCGACATTTCTGCCTCCATCGGAAATGCAGTCGCCGCCGCCGGGATTTGATCCCGCGACCTTTACGTTTCAACTAACCGTCGCATTCAGTTCAGAATGCCGTGAAAATTAAAAAAAAAACAATACCTCATCCTTGAAAGGCTTTCTGGTTTCCCCAGCGTGTGTGTTGACCTGGGAATCGGCATGCGAGTCAGCTCATGCCATCCACGGAAACTGTCTGCTCACAGATACACACATTCGCCACTACTCCGGCCGCTATACAAGGAGATATGAGCTCTAGATCTGAAAGCAGATCACTTGTGGATCACCACACGTAATTAAGGCCCCACTATTATCACAAGATTTAGAAAATTTCTGATGACTGCGAGCATAGGATATGCTCATGCACTGCAGTACTCCAAAACTAATTTCAATTCTTATGTGTTCTTTGGGGCCCTTTGATGGATAGCCAGTGGACATTCGCAACTGGCTGTCCGACTGAAATCCTGTTCGGATATCCACCAGAAAGCCACCTAGTACATCCCGTCAATGGACCTTCCTTGTACGTCCAGCGAATGTCCGTGCTGTGTCCGCTCTGGATATCCGAATTTTTCGACCTTTGGATTCATAGCGGACAGCCGACGGATATCCGTGGTTACTTGGGTTGTGCGCTCATATATTTCCACATTATCTTTTACCAACTGGCCCAGCATTCCACCTTATTGAACTGAAGTATGGTTGTTTGGTAAAATCCTTCCTCGCCTGAAAAGGAAAGAAAATTCTAGCTGCACTACTGTTAGAGAGTTGTGGTAAGGTGGCGCTGGCCAAGTGCTAACTCACTCTTACAGCTAATGGCTGGCTGTCATGTGTTATGGAAAGCTTTCACGGTCCTCATGACCTTCCCGAGTTGTCGCTGGCAACTTCGTACACCGACTATTCGCACTGTTTATCGCACTTGCTCTTCCATATCTGTACAGCAAGACTGGAAGGAGGCCCTTGCGCAGCTGCTGCAGACAAACAACTTTCCAGAGTTCACTGGCCGCGTGTGCCCTGCTCCATGCGAGGTGAGTATTTGGATGTTGACTTGAATTGTATTGATTATACTTAGAGAATGGTATTGATTCTACATGGCTACCTCTTTCTTGTATGATAGGAGCAGCCATTAAATCATAAAATCATAGTTTAGGCAGGACACATATTAAGCGGGGAGCACTTTAGGTGTCTGGGTTGTGGTCATTGTTTGGCGTAATGCAGGCAAAAGCATGTGTAAAACTGGAAAAAAGAGGCAGTAAGCGACAAAGAGAGAGAAAGGAAAGAAAAGATAGGAAAAAAAATACATAGCAATAAATATGAATAAATAGAGAGAAAAAAGACGAAAGTACTGAAAAAGAGAGGAGGAAAGGGAGAGAGAAAAATCACTGCCATATACACCAAGCGAATGATGTTAGCTAGAGGAGCTTGCTCTGATATGATCGAATAACCTGTGCATCTTTCATACACATTCCTCTATCATCATCTATTGATTGACAATTTTGTTATATATACAATACATACACAACGCTTATTAATATACGTTATGAAGTACAGTAGATCCCGGACATATCAAACTCGCATATATAAAATTATTGTCTCTATCGAACAGTTGAAAAATCCCCTTGGAGCTCCCATGCAAAAGAATGGGACCGGTGTACCCGTATATCGAACTCCCGCTTAGCGGGACATCCGCTATACCGAACACTACGCCGCGCCGAAGCCCAGAAAGTGTATTTTTCCTAGCAAATATTGATAACTTTAGGCCACGTTCTAACAAGTTACGATCCTTTTTCGCGTGCAAGCGACGAAAAAAATGGTTCTTATTTCATCACGATGATCTGGTTCGTTGCGCGGGACTTGCTACATCTGTACGTTTGATTCTCGATGTACAGGTCTTAGCTCGCTGACATGATGTTTTTCTAAAAACGGATTGCCGAGGGCACCAAAATGAGAATGGAAAGTGACTCTGCGATCTCGGTGCAATGTTTGCATGTGGTTCGCATTCCCTTACTTGTTGTTAGCGCATCATGGCATGCAAGTCTGAAAAGCATGGCCTTCGAGATGTGCTACCTTGTCACGTATCTTTAGTGTTTTCGGTTTCAAAACTTGTGTCTTGGAGGCTACGCTTTTTTTTCTTTTCCCATCAAAGCCGCTAAAAGCAGCGGCCGCCAGCTACAAAGCTATAGTGACATCGATATCGCCAACATGTCAACGGTGAGAACTCGGACGAACTCGGCGTTGCGTCTTTTGCGCCTTGTGGTCTTATGCACTTCTCACCTCGTTCCTGATAAATTCTCATTTGGGAGTTTAACTGAACGTTGACCTGCACGTAGCGATAAAAATTATGACTGGCACTTGAAGCGAGACCAAATAAAACACTGTTGTAAACGTTCCCCTCGGGCCAGGTGATGACTTCGGGTGTGTCATGACCACTAACAACGGCGTACGGTGCCTCAGCGAACTCTATGACTTTTCAGCATTTCCGGGCACCATCTCGGACAGCAGCGACTTCAACGGTACAGATGACGATGTTGCCGTTTCTGACTGCATCGATGCTGAGATTTCAGCTGCCGTTGCTGGTGCAGTGGAAGGGTAGCCGTGCGGTTATGAATGTGCCAACGCCTTCGCTGCCACCGCTAACCAAGCTTTTGCCACGCTACAAAGCTTACATCGGCGTTCTGCGTCAATCAATGTTGTGGCCGAAGGAGCTAAGTTCACTTATTTGAAAAGGTTCAATGATATTGATGTGGTATGAGCCAGGCCATGGTTTGGGACAAAAGTAGTGAAAGAGGAAGGATAATTGGCGCAGACGAAGAATTAAGTGTCCTCAAAAACGCGCAGCCATTAGTAAGTGAAATAATCGAATGAGGCACTATTACATCTTTCTTTTCACACTGAACCGTGAGAGGTTGATCGACGGCATCAAAAACCGGTACTGCAGCTATGAGAGGAGATATCACCACCGCTAACAGAAACTTCACCCGTACCACAGTCGACGAAAGCGCCACACTCTTGGAGGAAGTCAATGCCAAGAATAACATTATGAGTACACCGTTTCAGAATCGGGAGCTCAGTTGGGAACGCCTTTCCCGCCAACAACACGTTGACGGCACATACTCATTCGTGTTGAAGTATGTCCCCGCCCACGCCACGAAATCTACCAGAATCCTGATAGGAAAACATAACTTTGCAGCCTAAGCTATCTTTAAATGAATCACTCGTAACAAAAACTGTGGAACCAGTATTCACTAAAGCCATTGCACACAATCTGTCTATTGACACACATATCCGGTTTTTGTCCATCGTAACTGGGGGAGGTATACGAGGTGAACCCTGTTGTGCAACCACACCTCCATCGGCTGCGCTGGCTAGTTTCTCAGTGGTGGTGGTGGCGACCGCCGCCGTAGAGGTGAAGGAGAGCAATGCGTTCGGCCAGGCGGAGGTGTCAAGCTACGGTCAGAAGCTGGGGAGATTCCACGCTGGCTTTCTTGTCGTAGGGTTTTATTGGGATACGTGGACCACCAAGGATAGTCATAACTGTGGCCACCGCGAGGAGGTCTTCACGATGGCTCGTATCTTGAGGTCATCTCTCTCTGCCGAGGGCAGAATCGAGCAATGTGTCCTGGAGTACCACAGCTGTAGCACACAGGAGGTTGACGATATGCATTTTGGAAAGCATCGTGAGGGCGTGCTGACACAGGTGCATATTCGTTCGGGTTCTGATAGGCGGCGGCCAGCTGTTGAGGGTAACTGAAGCGGCACTGGTTCCTGGTGTCTTGGTAGTGGCTGCGCTGCGGCCCTGGTGGTGTGCCAGAAACATAGTCATACTCCTCGATGCCTGCTGCAGCAATGGAAACAGGAAGCTAATGCTGGTCGGGAACTGGCAAGGGTGTAGCTTCACAAGGCATCGCGCCAGTGTGTCGACTGAGTTGTTCACGCATGATCTCACGTATCGTAGACACAAGATCAGAAGGTGCGTAGTTGTGAACACTCGCTACCGTGGTCACATTAGGTAACCGATCAAATTTAGGAGCAATACGCTCATCTTCAGTGTCTCAAAAGTGCGACAGTGCCATATGACATCAGCTACTGTATCAATGCTGTCTTTGCCGATAAGAAAGTGGTAAACGTCCTCTGCAATACCCTTTAACAGGTGGCCGACTTTGTCCTTTTCGGACTTGCAAGAGTTAACGGTATTGCATAGTTTCAGGATCGCCTCGATATACATTGCGCACGCTTCGCCAGGGACCTGGGCTCATTGCAGCAGCGTTTGTTCGGCTTGCTTTCTCTTTGCCACTGTGTTCCTGAAATACTCCTTGATATCTGACACGAAACGTTCCCACGTTGTGAGGGCATTCTCATGGTTCTCATACCTGTGTGAGCACCAGTCCCTCAAGAACACCACGATAGTCAACTGAGCTGCCGTGTCCCAAGAGTAGTAGTCGCTCACCCGCTTATAATTTTTGAGCCACTGGTCCACGTCCTCCCCAGATTTGCCCCCGAAAGGACGGGGGCTCTATCAGATGCTGACGCTGCCAAAGACTAGCCGCGGCTGAAGTCGGTAGTAAAAGTGTCGCTGGAACTTGTGGTGCAGTGTCGTCAGCTGTGGGGTTCAGGGTTCCGTCTTCGCCGTGAAACATCTCGACTGCCAGCGTTAACGGGGGTAGTCCAGCAATGCGGCGGCTTCGGCGTTGGGAGGTTGTTGCAGAATCGTGTTGCTTGGTTAGGTACCCAGCACCTCCACCATAAAACTGTTACGGTTATATTGAGTTTATATATGTTTATTTACAGCCGAGATCAGGCGATGATGGCCGAACATAGGCCGAACCAACTAACATCCTCTTCCTCTACTTTTGTCCCAAACCATGGCCCGGCTCATACCGTATCAATATTAAGCATGACTGGAACTTCACAGTGCGCGAGAAGCAAGACAAGTTTACGGACTAAATAAAGTGCGGTAACCTGCAGTTCGCACCTTATTTTGAGCGAATCGTTATCTTAGCCCTTGTAACGATTTCAGAGGCCTGAAGTTTTTCAATTTAGGTCATAATTTCTAGTTCGAATTTTCGATATATCAAACTATTTCGTGATCCCTTTCGAGTTCTATATATCCGGGATCGACTGTACAACAATGTGAATTCAACTTGTGGACACAAGAAGAAACGCAGACAAGCGCTTGTCTGTGTATAGTGTGTCTCTGCGTTGAATTCACGCTTTTCGCACTTCCGAATGCTAAGCCAACTAGCCCAAAGCTTCACTTTATTAAGATTTCATTAATTTACAATTGAATGCACTGTATGCATTTTGATGTACGTGCGACCGAGCGGTGACCAAGTGTGCTCACTGCATGAGCTCCTGGCAAAGAGAAAAGAAGCGGATGTGCTGAGAGTGGTGCGCACAGGAAAACTGACACCTTAAAGGCAATGCGCATTCGTGCGTGGCCAGACCAAGCACCATTGACACCCTCCTCTTTACCTCTCTTTCTCACATTTCTTTCTCTTCCCACTGCCCATCTCCTGTGTGGCGTTGTTGAGGTGACCTCCTGAGAAAGAGGCCGTTACGACACATTTTTCTCTTCACTTCCCTTTCTTTTAAATCCACCTTGAGGAGGTGAGCGCACAGGCCATCGAAAACCGTTGGCTTTCGGGGCGACACGCTATATAGTGAGCATTGTTAGAATCACCAGAGAGACGACCATGAGCACAATCGCAGAAGTGTACAGGCAACACTGGTGTACACTCCACTGGCATAAGACAAGCCGCGAGCAAAAGGAAAAAGTTACTAAAGCTAAGAGAAAGAACGCTGTCTAGCTGCACATTTCCTTCAAGCTTGACACTGCCCTAATTTGTGTACTTTGATACTTATTTTATTTATTTATACTGCCGATACCATTAGGGATCATAACAGGAAGGTCATGTTTAACTTGTTATGATATAAAATACAAATAGAAACATTCAATTACACGAAAAGAAGGTATTGGCAGTAAGCAATTAAGGTAAATAAGAAAACCTAATAGTACAACATGGCTCAATCAGAACCAGTTACGCTAACTCATTCCTGTTGCACACTAACTTTGAAAGCGTTGCCACTCAGCGACACCATCAGCACCATATAGCCTCTGATGTGAGGCATTACATGAAGTACAATGCTGTTCCTATAGCACATATCTCATGTCCTCCAGTGCATATGAGTCTCGCAATCTTGCCAGCTCATGGTCTCTGAGATTTGGGCAATCTCAAGGCCGTAATTCAACTCGAAATACACCACTGCCGCAGCAGATGCTAAGCAGGTTACCCTGCATTGAAAGCATGTCGCTTACATGGTGCATTCACAAACGCCTGCACTTGATTCAATCATATGACCACTGGCGCTCACAATGTTTTCTGCTGTATTATAAGACCATGAAGTTAGAAAAAGTTAAATACTTTATTTTTTTTGTTATATTGAGGGTTTTGTTACATTGATTACTGTGCATTACTTTTGTACTGTAAAAATTCAACTGTCGGTGAGTGCTAGTTTGTGGCATCTTAATTCCAGATAGCTGTCTGAGCTGCATAGCTATAATAATAAAACGCCTAGTAGTCCACGCAGCATTCCACTATTTCATTATGAAGTGCTATAAAGTTTTGAAACTGACATTCTTTAATTTTCTTTTGTTGCAGGGTGCTTGCGTGCTTGGCATCAATGAGCCAGCAGTAACCATCAAGAACATTGAGTGTGCCATCATCGACCATGCCTTTGAGCAGGGCTGGATCCATGCTGACCCACCATCGCAGCGCACGGGCAAGAAAGTGGCCATTGTGGGCAGCGGACCAGCTGGCCTGGCTGCAGCTGCTCAACTTAACAAGGTGCATTTGACTCTGCCATATTACAGAACAATTACAGTTGCATTAACTGTAGTATAGGTTGCATTAACTAGAGTAAATTTTATTGTGTTTTATAAACTTATTTCCTTAGCAATGATTGTCTTGCATCACAGGAGGACCGACAGACTGACAGTTGCCTCACTGAGCTAAAGAATACTAACACATCAAAGCTTTATTCTAAGACAGAGACTACTGTGGAAATTGAGCTCTGTGTTATATTTGTATATATCACCAAGTGATGCTTTATCAGTGTTCACAGCAAAGCACATAGTCATTTTTGTCTCTTAGCTCATAAGAATGCCCTCTCTCATGTAATACACCTTCCACATATTCTGTTACATTAAAGCTGCTTTTCTTACTTGTCTTTGCCTGCATGTGTGGTATTTGAAGGGATTGTATTTTGGTTCACCAACACTTCAGGCTGGCCATCTCGTGACTGTCTTTGAGAGGAATGACCGTGTGGGCGGCCTGCTTCAGTACGGCATCCCCACTATGAAACTGGGAAAAGATGTGAGTGACAGCGCTGCATTTACATGTATGTCTGTATGCTTATCTGCTCTTGGAAATTAACAAATACTGGGCTGAAAGATCACTGTTGCAGGCAATTAAAGAATGCCAGGCGTAACTCAGCAATGAAAAAACAGGAGCGTTTATTAATGTGGCTGCCCCATCAATTCAATGATTGATTTGTTGTGACCTCAGAGGGAAAGCATTGCTGAGTGTGGTTATTTGGAGACAACAAAGCTTTGGTGAGGAATAAAAAAGTGCATCAAATTCGTTGCATCAGAAAGAAGAGACTAGAAACAGGTGGGAAACTGGAAAAAAAATATAAGAAAATGGGATGATAAGGCGAAAATGAAGATATGTATCACTAATTCCTAGCGAACGTGGTCTTGAATTGTTAATGGTGTTCTGTATGAGGTACAATGTGAGAGCCAGAAGTATGGATTGTTTGCCTAGTCAGAACCAATTATTGGGACCTCATTGTTGAAGATGTGCATGTCTGTCATATTTATTGCTCTCATCTCTTGAGTGCTATGAGGCTACTGACTATGTGACAGCGCTTTGCCACATGTCTCTCATGCTGAACATGACAAAACAGATGTGCACACAGGCAATTAGGCATATATCACATTCTTGTTTAAAATTGTGAACAATTTTTACGTGTGAAGCTCCCTAGGACCTAGACTAGTCTGTCACGGTATAACCGTTGCTATTGTCGAAACATATGTGAAACGCACACACAAAAAAGGTTTTACTATAGACTTCAACGTAGACATAGGCTAATTAATAAGGTAAGAAAGCACCGTTCCCATTGAAAATAACCTGTCAACAAAAGTATTGACGAGTTTATATCTACGAAATTATGCCTTGATGTTCAGGGTACTCAAGCAGGCCTGTAACACAAAAGAACACATCGAATATTACGGATTCTGACAGATTTCCTATATGGCATCCCAGAAGTGTGTTTTGTTTGGCTAGTTGGCAACACTTCGTAAAAAAGTAAAAACAGCACAACATAAGACAAGACGAAGGAAGAAGCACACAGGACGAGTGCTCACTAACAACTGACTGTTTTATTGTTTCCATGCAATATAAAGCAAAAAGGTGCGGGGTAACAATTCACGAGCACTTTCAAGCCATTCGACATGATACAATGTGTGAAAACTGTTAGACGAAAAGATTACAATTTTGTGAGTGCACCTATGTACATGCCAGATAGTGAATCTCTTCTTTGCTTAATGTTATGAACTAGTACATGTTCCGCCCCTTAGTTTTATTGCAAAAGCCTCAGCTATCGGACGACTGAGCATGCTTGGGTAATCATTGCCTAAAACAAGGCAGCAACATGGCACTACATTGCAGCACATGCGGGCACACACCAGAGTTCAGAGACTACAGAGTCGCAGGAAGATACCCAAGCACGCACAGTGGTCATTGGCTGAGGCTTTCGCAATTAAACTAAAGGGCGACACATGTATTAGTGAACCGCCCATAACATTAAGCAAAGAAGAGACTCACTATCTGCCATGTGCCTAGGCGCACTCTCAAAATTGTACAGTTGAATCCCGCTACAACGAAATGGACGGGGCGGGCGCAAAATTTCGTTATCGCGGAAATTCGTTGTCGCGATATGATGAAATACATACGTGACACGGGACTTGCTGAAGCAAAAGAACAAGCTTTAATGCTCAACTTCGCCTGTTTCCGCTTTTTGCCAAGCGATGGCACAACACGACTTTCGCACGCTGCCAGTAGAGCCATTGCTTCATCGTCGTCCTGCGACCCGATGCAACGCCTGATGATATCGAATGCGTCCAGCACCTGTGAAGTCGGTGGTAGTGCGGGATCACGTTGCGCGATTGTGTCATCATCGTCCGACGAAACACCATCTTCCTGGACGCTCTTTATGATGTCTGTGTCCGTCATTTCCTCGCGCACCACCAAGCAAGAGTCGGCTTGCAAGAACTCGCTGATATGTACGTCGGCGGGCACATCACTTTCCTGCAGGTCTGCCCAAGCGACTGCGATTTCTTCGTCCTGGTCCAGCAACCTGTCCTCATCGCGGTCTGCGACGCCATCGTAATTTTCAATCGCAGAATCGGAAGTCTCGGCGCACTGTACTGCGAATCCGGCATGGCGAAAGTAGTTCACGACTACGGCGCTCCCTGTCTCGCACCACGAAGCAGCGATCATTTGGAGCGCCATGAACAAGTCGATTTTCGTTTCGCGACCCAACCGAGTGTTCAAAATCAGCTTTTGGATAAGGCGCTTGCGGTACGCGCACTTGACGCTTTGGATGACCCCTTGGTCGAGGGGTTGAATGATGGACGTGCAGTTCGGTGGCAAAAACTTGAGCTGCACGTTCTCGAGCTCCGTGTCCTCAATGGAATGTGCGGAACAATTGTCTAAAAGCAGACAAACCTTGCGGCCTTGCCTGCCCATGTCCCGGTCGAATTCCTCGACCCACTCTCCAAAAATTGCACGGGTCATCCACGCCCGGCTGTTGGCCACGTACTTCACTGGAAGGCGCCGATTTCCTTTGAAGCAGCGTGGTTTTGCGCTTTTGCAAATGACCAAAAGCGGTCGCTTATCTGATCCGTCCATATTGGCGCACAGTAGCATGGTGATCCTTTTCTTATGCTGTGTTTACCTCCTTGACAGCGCAGCCCCTTAAAATCCAGGGTCTTGTTCGGTAACATTTCGTAGAATAGACCGGTCTCATCGGCATTGTATATGTCCGATGATGCGTAGTCCTTAAGGATGCTTCCAAGGCTGGCCGACATCCACGCGGCGGCGCCGTCTTTATCCGCCGAAGCGGCTTCACCACATAACACTTTGCCGATCATGCTGTGGCGGGATTTAAATCTGTTTAGCCAACCTCCGCTGGCCTTGAAATTATCAATGCCGAGCATGCAGGCAAAATCTAGCGCCTTCTGCCGTACAATATCGCCGCTAAGGGCAATTTTCTTGGCCCGCGTCTCCACGAACCAGGTGTAAACAGCCTTGTCTAAAGCTTCGTGCACTGGCTGGGTCACCTTCTTATGCTTAGCAGACGTCCCTGAAGCTAGAGCTTTGCCTATCGCGTCCTTGCTCTTCGATCAATATAGTTGACAGAGAGCTCGCCGCAATCCCGAACTCTTCAGCGATGAGTGCCTTCTTCTTTCCAGCTTCAGCCTGTGCGATGATGCGAGCCTTGTCTTCGAGCGACAAAAACTTGCGCTTTTTCGCCGGCTGCGCCATCGTTGATCGCGTTACTGCACCTTCGGGAAACAATCAAACAATGACCAAAGCGTGCGATCGCTCGTTGTGAAGAAGCTAGCCCTAGTCAAGCCGCCGGAAGCGGAAGTCGTCGTCCGAACGCATCGTCGCACTCTACCGGGATTTGCCTCGCATCTCCAATTTTGTACGTACATACGTACACATAAATTGGAAATTCCTGACATTGAAACCATTCTCACAAACAATATAAAAATGATTAAAAATACTATAAAAATCAAATTAATGCGTGTTGTTTGTACACAGACACGATTTAAAACGTTTCCGACGTTTCTTCTGAATCTACATGAGAGCGTGTTGCATTGATTGCATCGCCATCACTATCGCGGTATGTATGGCGGCGTTGTGCTGTTTACATTGCGCAGCGAGTCACCGTCGCGCCCGGTATGCACGCTCTGAGCAACATCTTGTACGTGTGTGTTTTTTTTTAAATGTTATTAAGGTCCATGGTTTGTCAAGGCATTAAAACACTTTTGAGAATTTCAATAAGCTGTAATTTGAATAATTTTGCTCGTGCCTGTCCTGCAAAAAACTTCGTTGAAGTGGAAATGCTGCCGTGAAGTAGTTCGTATTGGAGGGAATTTCGAAGCATTATACCCTATGGGACATCGACGGGGAATGGAAAAACCTTCGTTGTGGCGGAAATTTCGTTGAAGCGGACTTCGTTGTGCCGGGATTCGACTGTAATCTTGTCGTCTAACTGTTTCCACACATTGTGTCGTGAGGAATGTCTTGAAAGTGTTTGCGACTTGTTACCCCGCACCTTTTTCTGTTACATTGCATGAAAGCAATAAAGGAGTCAGTTGTTAGTCACCACTCATCCTGTTTCTTCCTTTGCCTCGTCTTTTTTTTTTTTTTGCATTGTTTTTGCTTTCATATAAAATGACATTTTGTCACCGGTATGATGACGGGCCCTTGAATCCACTTTCAAGACTTATCTACCACTCCGTCAATTTTCCCAATCCTCCTAGCATTGCCATAGACAACTGGAAGGCAAAATAAATTTGCATTTTCTTATACACTTTAGGTCACTCAATTTACATTATATGGGCCAAGGCTTGGGTAGCGTACGGTTACTAACTGATACGATACCGAGAGCTTCACCTACTCGTCACGAGATGTGTGGATTTTTTTTATTACCAATCAGATGACACGTCTCATAGTATGAAAAAACCGATTGCATAAAAGCTAATAATGGAGTGCGCACGCACAGAACTTCACATTGCTAGTCAAAACCTTACGCCTGTTCCAGGTTGTGAAGAGACGCGTTGACCTGATGGCCGAGGAGGGCGTCACGTTCAAGACCTCAACAGATGTGGGCAAGGACGTGCCCAGCGATGACCTGCTCTCCCAGTTCGATGCCCTGCTACTGACCACAGGGTCAACATGGCCGCGCGATCTGCCCATTCCTGGTGATTGTCTCTACTCAATTTGCCGATCATAATCTCATCACTATGGGAACTACCCTGCCACTCGAATGTTACAGTGAAAGCCCAAAGAATACAGTTATAGGGCCATGGGGGTATTGTTTGTGCCTCAGCAGCTCAGATCCCAGCTTGTCTGTTTCTGTGTTGGTTTCTTCAGCGACCTGTGACTCGTAAATTTTAAAAGTTCAACTCGCATCCTTGCTTGTTATCGCACGTTTAATTAGAAATGTTAGCCATGGTTTGTCAGTGCAGACGTGTGTTATCTAAAATTCGATCGCTGCGATATTTCACTCCTAAGTTAACTATAGATGAGTGGCATGTAAGGGTGCAATTAAGGCACATATGTATATATGTAAAGATGTGTAGATGTCATTGGATGAAATGATGGAGCTGCCTAGCATGAAGCACTGCTTCCATTGTGTCCTCTATATTCAAATTGTAGTCATATTTGTCATTTCAACTTGTGCTGAACTGAATGCATGCTGCTTATTGTAAGCATATTATTTTTGTATCATGTTTAATTGTATGGCTTGGCTAGAAAGTTACAAAATGTCATTTGAAGCCTGGAAACTGCACTTGTGCAAATAGTAAATTTTATCTTCTAATCAAATTCAAATAGTATATATTGCATATTATATAGTAAAATGAGCATATTTGTCATGACCCTAATAACTTGCTCAATACTCCTCTTTTTTTATTGAAACAAGGCCTGTGCATATGATTCAAAGTGAGTGGAAACAAGCTTGAACAGTAGAAAGATTTGACTTTCAGTAGAATGCAAGTGATAACTTGTAAAATATGTGACATACTAGAGTGACTGAGAGATATAAGCCAGTATAAAAAGCTTTTAAATGAAAAAAAATTATTAATCGATATGAGAATAACAGTGTTCATTTAACCTTAAAGGAGGCCTTCGTGGTGGTGCGGATTTTTTTAAATGGGTATTTTCACAAGTTAGCATCTTTTCGCTACAGTGAAACTATCTTTACAGGGTTACATGTAAATTTGTGTCTTTTTGGTTATTTCGAATACTGTAATATTCGTTCAAACATTCGCACAAGCCTACTGAAAACCTCTTTGGACCCTAATACGGCCGATTGGTGTCCCCAATTTGGCAGTTGGGCGATTCCCCAATTGGTCAATTGGGGAATGCTAATAGCACAACACGTGAACTGACGTATGTGTATATATATATAGATAGATATTGTAACGATGTTGAAGGATTTGGGGTGTATTAAAATGTATTTATTAAAGGGCGAACCTGTGCTCGTAACTCAAAGGGACTATGGTCGTAGCACGTTACAGCAGAACACCAAAGATGTCTCCTTCTTCTACTTCTTCAAGAGGAGTCCCAAGCGTGTGGCGCACATCAGCCGGGGCCAGCTTGGTTCTCGTGCTATTATCATCGTCTCTGCGCTACACTAGACGGCGCGCATGTATGTCCCTGTGCGCGCGGTGATGGGCGCGTTGTTTGAATGCAGGCACTATGTCGCGTCGTAATCCCCCTCCTCATACACGTCGTCCCGATGCGTCAGGCAACAAATAGATTCGTGGTAGGCGTCACTGGTCTTCCGGTGATCTTTCATAGTAAGGCTTCATCCGGACTACATGTACGACCTCTGTAGGGTTGCGGCATTTGAGCTTCCGTGTATAGCGGATCTGACTTGGTGTGTTACATCGCTTACACGATGAAGTACTTTGTAAGGCCTGAAGTAGCAGCTAAAAAGTTTTTCAGAAAGTCCACGGCGACTCACTGGGGTCCATATTCATACTTAGTCACCTGGTTGAAAATGCGCTTTGGTACGGCGCTGACTGTACCGATAGGAGTCAACACGCTGTTGGTGGCGTATTCTGTATCTCACCATGTGTCGTGCTTCCTCGGCTCTTTGCAGGAAGTCGTCTAGGCCAGGTGGATTGCTGCTTTCATCATTCAGTGGTAACATCGCATCCAGTGGAGTGGTGACTGTTCGGCCTAATACAAGTTCAAATGCTGTCACTCGCGTTGTTTCTTGAACGGCTGTATTATATTGCTGCGACAGGTTCGCCACATTCAAGTAGCCCGCCACAATCATCGTGGCACCAGTACCAGCAAGACCCGGCTCGGCTGGCATGCGCCACGCGTTCGCACGTTCAACAACGAGGAAGAGGAAGATAGTCGGATCTGTGCCACTCGGCTACTCGAACTTGACGACCATAGTTTTTAGAATCGTGGGCACAAGTTCGCCCTAATAAAGACGCTTGTTTTCTTAACCTGTCGGCGTCAGCATCGCTACATTTCTGGTGGAAGTGCTGGGTTATGAATCGAAGCCCCACGAGCTCAACACAGCGTAGCCCCGACGACCAGCGTATCAACCCGGTGGAAGTGACTCCTGTACACCAGAGGGCAAGTCGCCGTCTTCGAGGTGACTCACCTGAGTTCGGTCCTCTTCACTTCACACCAAGGGGAATTCAAACGATGGATGCCACCACTATGACTAGCCAGGTAACACCGGCACAAGTGTTCATTAGCCAACCGCACCAGCCGCCAGTTTTCCACGGCGACTCGTACGAGGATGTTGAAGATTGGTTGGACCTGTTCGAGAGAGTAGCGAGCTTGAATGGATGGGACGAAAGAGAGAAGCTCCGTCGCGTATACTTCGCCCTGGAAGACTTCGCGAAGACATGGTTTGAGAACCATGAAACCTCGTTGTCTACCTGGGAGGTATTTCGACGACAAGCGGTGGCTACGTTCGCGAACATAGACCGGAAAGAAAAGGCGGAGGCAGCTCTTCAATCGAGGAACCAGCTAACGAACGAGAGTGCTGCTATGTACATTGAGGACATGGTCCGCCTGTTCAAGCGTGTGGATTACAACATGGCTGAGGATAAGAAGGTGCGCCATCTAATGCGCGGAGTGAAGCAAGAGCTGTTCGCTGTTCTCGTCCGCAACCCTCCGAGCACGGTTGTTGAGTTTTACTCGGAAGCGACGGCCATAGAAAAAACACTGGAACAGCGGGCTCGGCAGTACAACCGGAATCTTAACTGCGAATCTGCACAGGTATTCCCCGGAGGCGTGCGAAACGACGTTGAAGCCCTGCGAGAGCTAATTAGATCAGTTATCAGAGAAGAACTGAGCAGACTGCATATGCCCCAGACTTCAACTGCACTATCTGTTACGGACGTTGTTCGTGACGAACTGAGGCAGGTGATACGAGAGCCAGAGCGTGAGCTGCAGCCGGTTCGACCTATCCGAATATACTCTGAGGTTGTCAGACAACCCACGGTACACAGCAATGCAGCAGTTGCGATGGCAACGACTCCTCTCCCACCTGCGGCACGCAGCGCACCTCGTCCACGGGAACCGACAGCTACCTATCTGCCCCCAGGAGCACGTAGCACACATCACTATGTGGAGCGTAGGCCAGGAAAAGTGACGTCTGGCGTGATCACGAGCGCAGGCCTCTGTGTTTTCATTGTGGGGAAGCGGGTCATCTGTACAGATTCTGTCCTTACCGACAGGCTGGATTAAGAGGCTTCCCGTCATATGCACCGTGCCCCCGAAACGGCGAACGACCAGCAGAGATTGAGGAGTACTTGTCGACGCGCCAGAACTCGCCAACTCTACGCCAACACCGGTCACGGTCACCATCGCCTATGCGCTACCGGTCATCCAGCCCACGTACACCTTCAAGGCAGCCTGGTCATCGCTCTCCAAGTCTACACCCGGAAAACTGAAGCAAGCGACCTGTGGAGGTGAGGCCGCTGATAACGTCAGTTACGAAGATCCTCCAATTTGGTTTGAGGGTGATGACGGTGTATTTCCGGTAGATGGGTGCAGCAACGAAAACGTTACTTCAGATTTGCGGTTGAGAATGGAAGGATGGGAGCTGAATGCCTTAGTCGACACCGGTGCTGATTATTCAGTGATAAGTCACAAGATGGTGAAAAAGCTAAACAAAGTTGTGACACAGTGGAGTGGATCGCAGATACGCACGGCAGGCGGTCACATTATTACGCCCCTTGGCAGATGCACTGCAAGACTTGAAATACGGGGCTTTATTTACGTGGCCGATTTCATTGTGCTGCCAGAATGTTCAAGAGAACTCATTATAGGAATGGATTTTTTGCGAGCTAATGGCGCCGTAATTAACCTGCGTAGGTCCAGCGTGTAGTTTTCGACTGAACGAGCTATACCTGTGGAGGAATCTGAGGAACGACGCTTAACTGCTCTACGCGTTGTTCATGATGACGTAACTGTGCCGCCACGCTGCAGTATAATGGTGCTCGTAGAAAATGATGCATTGTACAACCGCGAAGGCATAGCGGATACAAATGTAGGACTGTTTTTGAACAAAGGTGTCTGCGTAGCTAGGGGTCTTGTTCACTTGTCGAATGGTCGTGCAGATGTCCTACTCACAAATTTCTCCAATGAGCTTCAACACATCGCTCAAGGCACGACTATCGCCTATTTACACGACTTCTGTATGGCGACCGAACTATGCAGCTTAACGACATCAACCACTCGACCAGTGGCCTGCAACATCGACACATCCGTGACCGTCAATCAGAGCCTTCCGGACAGTCAGAAGAAACAGATTTACGCCTTGGTAAAAGAATTCTCTGATTGCTTTTCAAGTACCTCGAAGGTCCAGCGCACGTCAATCACGAAACACAGAATTATAACGCAAGACGACACGAGGCCTATATGCCAGCATCCATATCGGGTGTCACAGAAAGAACGGGAAATTATCAAGAAGCAAGTGGAGGAGATGCTTTCTGATGATGTCATCCAGCCTTCGAATAGTCCATGGGCGTCTCCCGTAGTGCTCGTTAAGAAGAAAGAAAACACACTTAGATTCTGCGTCGACTACAGAAAACTGAACAGTGTAACTAAACGAGATGTCTACCCCTTGCCACGTATCGACGATACACTAGATAGGTTGTGATCCGCAAAGTTTTTCTCCTCCTTAGATCTGAAAAGCGGATATTGGCAAATAGAGGTCGAC